CTCATCTTTATTGCAGCACTGTTCACAATAGCAAAAAGATGGAAACAACCTAGGTGCCCATCAGTGGACGAATGGATAAACAAATTATGGTATATCTACACGATGGGATACTACACAGTGATAAAGAACAAAGATGAAACCGTGAAGCATAACATGGAGGAAGCTGGAGGACATTATGCTGAGTGAATTTAGTCAGTCACAGAAGGACAAATATTGTATAAGACCACCATTATAAGAACTCAAGAAAAGGTTTAAACACAAAAGAAAACATTCTTTGATGGTTGCAAGGGTGTGGAGCGAGGGTGAGGATTATTTACTAACTAGATAGTAGATATGAATTATCTTAGGTGAAGGGAAGGACAGCACACACTACAGCGGAGGTCAGCATAACTGGACTAAACCAAAGCTAAGAAGTTTCCTGAATACAATCAGAACACTTCGGGGGACTGAGTAGCAGAGGCGGGGGTCTGGGGACTGTGGTTTCAGGGGACATCTAGGTCAATTGGCATAACAAAGCTTAAGAAGATGTCCTGCGTCCTACTTTGGTGAGTGGTGTCTGGGGTCTTAAAAGCTTGCAAGTGGCCATGTAAGATCCATCAATTGGTCCCAACCACCTGGAATAAAGGGGAGTGAAGAATACCAAAGACACAAGGAAAGTATTAGCCCAAGAGACAGAAAGGGCCCCATAAACCAGAGACTTCATCAGCCTGAGACCAGAAGAACTAGATGGTACCTGGCTACCACCAATGACCACCCTGACAGGGAACACAGCAGAGAGTCCCGGATGGAGCAGGGGAAAGGTGGGGTGCAGAACGGAAATTCTATTGAAAAGACCAGACTTAATGGTCTCTCTGACACTGGAGGAACCCCAGAAAGTATGACCCCTGGATTCTCTATCAGCCCAGAACTAAAACAATTTCCGAGGCCAACTTCAGACAGGGATTGGACTGGACAGTGGGATATAAAGTGATACTTGTGAGGAGTGTGCCTCTTAGCTCAAGTAGATACAAGAGACTAAACGGGCATCTTCTGTCCCGAGGTGAGATGGGAAGGCAGAGAGGGTTAGGAGCTGGTTGAATGGACATAGGGAATCAGGGGTGGAAGGGAGGAGTGTGCTGTCACAGTATGGGGAGAGCAATTAGGGTCACATAACAATGTATAAATTTTTGTATGGGAGACTAACTTGAAGTGTAAACTTCATTTAAACTACAACAATAAAAAAAATATTTAAAAAAGAAAAGGCAAGGAAGGTGGGAAGGGCTTATAGCTGAAGAAAGCATTGCAGCAGTGAGTTCTTTCTCTAGAATCTGGATATTTGTGTCAAAAGTATTCAAATATTGTAACCCAGCTTTAAGACTATATCATTGAGGAGTCCTGGTGGTGCAGTGGTTAAAGCACTTGACTGCTAACCGAAAGGTCGGCAGTTCAAACTCAACAGCGACTCCATGGAGAAAGATGTCTGCTTCAGTAAAGTTTTACAGCCTTGGAAACCCTATGGGCAGTTCTGCTCTGTCCTATAGGGTCACTATGAGTTGGAATCCGTATCTCATATTTGGAAATGATCTCACTTGTCGAGGCCAATGCTGTCATTTTACAGATGGGAGAATCAAAGCATGGTAAAATTAAGTACTATACTTATGACCAGTCATAATAGCAAAGCTGATACTAATACCCAAGTTTTCTTATGGTCCTTGCTTTTTAAGATCTTGATTTGTTGGTTCCTTTTAAAAGCCTGTTAAATACGTTAATAGAGTTCCACTTTAAACTTAGAGCCATAGAACAACAGAACATAGAATCAGCATTCAAGACTAGCTAGTAAATAGTTGCTGAATGAATCAACTCATTAACCTAGGCCATATCCCCCATTTACAGGTAAGGAAATTGAAGCTGGTCCCAGAGAGGTGAGTGGAATTTCTTAGGGCCATACAGCAAAGAGAGAGCCAGCCTGAAGAACCAAGATGTCTTGTCCGACAACCCATGCTACTGCCATTTTTTTTAAAAATCATGATGGTTACTAATAATAGAATTTCACTTTCTCCCAAATTCAGATAACAGAATGATTTTGGGAACTTGCAGTAAACTGAGCTCCAAGCACCAATATTGTAAAATATTCTGTACTTCAACAACTTTCATATGTTAATGCCTCTAATATTATAGTGAGATTGATTTTCAATTTATATTAGACTGAGATTGATTTTTTTTTAAAGCAAAGCCAGAAGAAAAAAACTTTAATGCATTGAACTACCTGTATCTTTAAAACTTTGTTTTCAAAATAAACCAAGATGAAGCATTTAATGAGTGAAATTCATGTTAAAGTATGCTGAGCTTGCTCCATTCTCCAAGCCTCAGGTATTTTATATTACCATAGCTAATTATTGAGATTTTCCAATATCCTAAATGGTCAAAATTCAGAGAATAAGGACTATGATTGTAGAATGGAACACAATTAAATATCTAGTTCGTCACAATATCAATTCTGTCTCTAAACTTCTCAAACCGGTTCTTTCCTCTCATGCCCTCCCCACCTCCAATGCCACTGCCCAGCTCTAAGACTTCATAGCCCAAATTAAACCTAACCCGTTGCCATCGAGTCGATTCTGACTCATAGCGACCCTATAGGACAGAGTAGAACTGCCCCATAGGGTTCCCAAGGAGCGTCTGGTGGATTCAAACTGCCGACCTTTTGGTTAGCAGCCAAGCTCTTAACCACCATGCCACCAGGGCTCCCTATGGCTTCCTAATTCATCTCCCTGCCTACAATCTTCCCCCGTCCCCAGTCCATCCTCCCCACTCTCTCCAGTTATTTTTCTGAAACAAACTTAATATTTCTCTCCTGCTTAAAAGTCTCCAATGGTTCTGATGGCCTACAAGAAAAAATCCAAACTCCTTATCGAGGCATACAAATCCTTCACAGACTCACACCATCCGCTATTCCTGCTCAATTCCTCTCATTCCTTCCCATTAGTTCCCCACCATATGCATCCTACCATTAAGCCACAACAAACCTCTTGACTGAAAGAAACCAAGAGATCTTACTCAAGTGCAAAAACACAGAGTTATCTTATGCTTCTTCTTGTCAGCTTTGGGAGGTAGCAAGACAGGCAATTTAGTACCATTCAGCAGATGGGGAACATGAGGGCCTGAGGTGAAACTACTTGCTCATGAGCATACATTCAGCTCATAACTTCAGGACTACAGTCCAGGCCTCCAGATTGGTCACTTTCAAAAGTTATGTAGTAGGGGAAGATGCTCCTGGAGAATTTTGACTACTGGACTCTTGAGTTTATAGATTGAAGGCATTGATAATGCGTTTACACGTTTACAACGCCCAAAAGAAACTAAATAGCAAAAGATTTAAAAGGATGTGCCTCAGTAGGTCTACATGTGAAATTCTAACCAGGCATAACAGCATTCTAATTAAAAGGAGAAAAAAAAAAATACTCTTTCTAGCAAGAACAGTTTATATTTCTTCAGGTTAGTCATATTGCCTAAGAAATTTATTATTTTCTAAACTGTAAGTTTTAATTACTTTTAAGTAATAAGATAAAGTGTCTTATGGCCTAATGATGCCTTACACTGTGAATCAATCTGAAAACTCATACTTTTGGGACGATCTTGGCTTTTTCGTTGGAATGATTGAGGAGATGGAATAGAGGGAAGTCGGAGCAGATCGTACAGTGGAAAGAATATTGGACTGGGAAAGAGCAGATCATTTAGTAGCAACCTTGAACCAGGCGTAAGCCCATTGCCATCACATTGATTCCAACTCATAGCACGCTACCCTGTGCAGAGTAGAGCTGCCCCATAGAGTTTCCAAGGCTGTAAATCTTTACGGAAGCAGACTGCCACATCTTTCTCCCACAGAGCAGCTGGTGGATTCGGACCGCCAACCTTTTGTTTAGCCGAGTGCTTCGGCACTGCACCACCAGGGCTCCTTCAACAAGGCATACTCCCCCTATAGATCTCAGTTTTTTTCTCTATAAAATAGAAACAGTACATCTTGCTTATCTCTCAGGACCACATCATTACTCAAATAAGGCAATGTGTATAAAAGTGCTTTGTAAACTGTAAGGTACTGTTCAGATAGGAAAAGTAGTAACAGTCCTGGTGATTATCCCATAGCCAAATGTTAAGGATAACTTTTTTAATAGCAATAATATTTCTCAAAAATAACTGTGGTGAGCACTTTTCTGAAGTGTCCTGTGTGTGTTATCTCAATTAATCCTAAGAACTACTCTAACGGCAAATAGTCATGCTGTCCTCATTTTGAGATGGGAAAACCCAGGCACAAAAAGGTTAAATAACTTGCTCAATGTGCTAATAAATATCAGAACCGGATACAAACCTAGGTCTGTGATTCCAGAGCCTGTATTCTTAATCTCTATGCCATCATGCCTCCTAAGCCAGATAAGGAATTAGTGAAGCAGTTTATCATCTAGAAAAGTACTTTCAATGTGTAAATGAAGCTCAGTGTTATACCTTTGGAAAGATTTCATCATCTCTGATTTCTTCATATTGTCTTTGTAATTCCTATTCCTGGGTCACAGCCAGATGTAGGTAAGATGTACAATTGGCTGAATTACACACCCTGTTTATCCAGCAAACTTTTATTTTGCCAGGCACTGTGCTAAGTGCTAAGACGTAAGGCATGGTCTCTACCTTTGAGAAATCCTGGCCTCTCGTACAAATAATCCTCATAGTGTAGTTCATGCATTGTTCCCTGACAGCAGTCAGACAAAAAGCACAAGAGAAGCCAGAGTTGGCCAGGATCCCTGCTGGCCTGGGCAACCAAGGAAGGCTTTGTTAAGGAGGTAGCAGTGGAACAAAACTTTGAGTTGGATAGGGTTTCTTGTGGGGTTGATAAGAGGAGAACATTCTCTATCTAGTAGCTGGGACAGCTTGAGCTAAGAGGCGAATGTTGGAAAGCACCACAAGGCATGGCTAGATGATAGATGATGGCCTGTAGACCAGATTGGTTGAAACATAGGATTTGTAAAGGAAAGTCCTGAAAAAGGCTAAAGGAGGTTTAGGGGCAGAATGTAAATAACCTGGAATACCAGCTTTATTCCATGTAAACATTGTTGAGCCAAGGGAATGACACAGTCATCATGGTTATCATCAAAGTAAGAATAATTACTCATACATTACTCCGTAATTTGGAAATTCACAGTCATTACCTCGTTTAATCCTCAAAAGACTTAGAACAGTGCCTGGCACATAGTAGGTTCTCAATAAATGTCAGTTCTCTTCTCTTTCTTTCCTCATTTTCTAGGCAGTGTCATCCAGCCTCATGGCTTTAAATATCATAACATACAGTTACAACTCCTAGATGTGTATCTCCAACTCAAGCTCTCCCCTAAACTCCAGACATATATACATACAACTGCCTACTCAACATCTCCACTTAATTTCTGACAAGCATCTCAAATTAAACATAGTCAAAACTGAACTACTGATTCCTATCCTCCGTAAAGCATGTTCCTCCCATAGTCTTCCCCGTCTCGTTAAATGGCAACTTATTTTTCTTGTTGTTTAGGCCAGAAACCTTGGAGTCATTCTTGACTCCTCATTGTCGCATTTCCCCACGCAACTCATCAATAAATCCTGTTGATTTTACTTTCAAAACAGATCCAGAATCCACTTCTCACTACCTCTGTGACTAAACCCTAATCCAAGCCACTATAATCTCTTGTCCAGATTATTGTAATGGTTTCCGAACTGGTCTCTCTGCTTCCACTCATGCCTCCCTTTTCCAGTTGTCCTGGCATCCTTACTGTTTGTGAAACACAACGAAACATGTTCCCACTTGACGGCCTTGCACTCATACTTTCTTCTATTTGGAATAGTCTTCCTCTAGATACCCAAATTGTTCATGTTCTTACTTCCTTCAGGTCTCTACTCAGATTTTGCCTTTTGAGACCAACCTGTATAAATTAATAGTCTTTATTCTCTCTCCTCTCTGTCCTCACCCTCCCCACCCTGCCAGACTGGTAATACCTATGTCTTACCCTGTTTTATTTTTCTCCATTGCACTGATCACCATCTGACATGTATATTTAGTTGCTTATTGTTACCCCCTACTAGAATGAAAGCTTTCTGAGGACAGGAAATTCAGTTGTTCATTGCTATGTACCAGACACCTAGAACAGTGCCTGGAACTTAATATATATTCAATAAGTATCTCATGAATGAATGAATGACACAAATGAACAAACAACCTGTGAAGTAATAACAATGGTATCCTTCATTTATTGAGTTCTCACTATGTGTTAGGTAATTATGGTAGGCACCTTTATCATCTAACTGAATTCTTATAACAACCATATTGTTTGATGGTATCTTTATTTTTCAGTTGAAGAAATTAAAAGCTCAGAGAAGCAGTTTTCATAACCTATGTTCAAGATCAGTTATACCAGGCAAATATCCCCATTTCACAGACTGTAAGTGAAGTGTTTTCATCAAGATTACAGCCATAAAGTGACAGAGCTGGAAATTAAATATGAGGGTACCGATTCTTTCTGTTGTATCTCACTGGCAGTCTGGCAAGATGAATTGGCGTGGAGAGAGACTGAAGCCAGAAGAACAGACATACGGATATTATTCCTTGCTGTCGAGTCGATTCCATAGGATAGAGTAGAACTGCCCCTTAGGGTTTCCAAGGAGCAGTTGGTGGATTCAAACTGCTGACCTTTTGGTTAGCAGCTGAACTCTTAACCCCTGCGCCACCAGGGATATTACAGTCCTTAGAATGAGATGATAAAAATGCAGCCAGACCAGGGAAGGATTGGAGAGATGGTTACATTTAAAGGCTGCCAATAACTATACTAAATATTTTGCTAAATGGTTCCATAGCTTCCCTTGTCTCCTCTGTATGTGAAGTTAGACAGATCTTTGTTCTAAT